TTATGAGTGCCTGCGTGGTAGCTTGTGACGTAATCGAGTTGACTGCATTTTCACGATTTCAGGCCAGCGAGAGTACGCATCTACGAGAACGAGGTACATTTGTTCATAGAGCGGTCCCACGAAATCAATATGTAGACGTTCCATGGGGCGACTTGCGATCGGCCATGGAGTTAATCGGCTTTTCTTGAATTCTTAGCGGCAAGTTGGCAATTCTGGCAGCGTTCCACAGTTTCTTGACGTCTTCTTCTATACCAGGCCAGTAGAAATAGTTGCGAGTGAGCAACTTCATCCGGTTTTGTCCAGGGTGTCCGTCATGCAACATGCGGAGAATTTTCTCCCGTAACGAAGCGGGTATGACTATCCTGGATCCGAAAAAAAATGCATTTGTTGTAAGCAGAGAGTTCCTTTTGTTGGCTCCTGTAGTGGAATAACGGCGTCTCCAAAAGCGCATTGGGCCACCTTCCTGTTTAGAGGCAATTGAGCAATTCCATCAGCACGGGGTCCTTTTCCATAGCATAACTTACGTCTCCACTGTGACTGGCAGCTGGCTGAGTGCTTCCTCGTAAGTGGCGGTGACATGAGCTTCTATAGTAGCAACGGTGACGTCTTCGTCCGGCGCACTCCTGCAGGAAAGCAGTCGGGAGAGAGCATCGGCCTGTCCATGTCGTAAAGCAGTACTTGATGTCAAAATTATAGGCAAGTAGTGCCATCGACCATCGTTGTAAACGGTTGGTAGTATAGGCCGGCATTTCTTTCTTGCTCCCGAAGATAGTGAGTGGAGGCATAGGTGCGATAGGGGGAGCCGGGCTCTTCCCAGGTGAAGGGGATCTCGGCTGTTCCCGACCTTCCAGGGTGAAGGGGGTATGTGAGTCTAGGGGGGGGGAGGGAGAGAGAAAAGGTAAAAAAGCGTGATATGAAGAGCTCTAGTTTGCACCTTATTTAGGCACAAACTGGGAAAAAAATTTAAAAATTTTGAAAGAAATTAAAAATTTTAAAAAATTGACTTTATGAAGATCTGTGCTCCTGTTTCATTGCATCAACAAAAAACGAAAGCGATAAGGTTTATCCCAAAAATGTACAAATTAGGAACAACTTCAATTCCTGCACATCATCATCAACAATATTACTATCGCTAACGTCAGAGACAACAAGTTCGCTGCCTGAAAAATTTTCTTCTTCCTCCAAAAGGTCATCGGAGTAGAAGTAGAATTGCGTGCAAAGCGTTCTAAGTCAAAAATGGACTTGAAACTTTCTTCTTTTTCTAAGCGCTTTTGTGGTTTTTTTCCTGGCCCTCTGGTAGCACCAGGAAAGTCCGCAGGTACTCAGACAATCGTTGGGGGCAGGCGGGCACCGGAAAAATAGATTGCTGATTTCTCGCACCCCGCTCGCGGATTTTTTGCAAAGCAATCAGGACTTTTCGGAAGATCGCTTGCTATCAGCGGATTTTTGAGATACCGCCTGTTGAATTTTTTTCGTTCTTATCTTTTGCAGATATATTGCTGAATCTCTGAGGAATCGAGAACTCAGCAAGCGGTCTTACGAAAAGTCTTGATTGCTTTCCAAAAAATCCGCGAGCGGGGTGCGAGAGATCAGCAATCTATTTTTCCGGTGCCCGCCTGCCCCCGGCGATTGTCTGAGTAGGTGACCAGTTTCTTCATACCATCTTTTAGGATATTTCAAAAAGTCGTACGGTAATACCCTGTATGGACCACTTATACGAATCCTTTAAATGAAGTTTTTAGATAACAATATGTTCCTGGCATACGTCTTGTTAGCTGGCGAGAAAGCTGCTCAACTTCTTCTTCAACAGCATCTGCGGAATAGCCGAAAAAAGTGGATACTATGCTGCGCGTTGGTTTTCTTTTCAATATCATAGGTCATAATGTCGCAAGGCGAATAACTTCCAAAAGCATAAAGCACAGAGTTGGGTTTGCACTCCAGTCGGGATCTAAGAGCAGTAGCTATGCTTTGTACTAACACCTTCCCATTGTTCATATCCATGTTTGTGAACTTAGCAGCTTTGAAATCTTCAGCATGAAGATCAGCAATGGACTTCCTGGACATTCTCATTGAAACTAGGCAATCTGCTTGGATTCCTTATGTAGGAAATCAGAGAGTTTCGCTCAATTGTCAACTCTGTATCAATGTCGACAACGTTTTCGTCGGCGTAAGATTCTCCTTCTGCCTCGCTGTTGAACTGGAACACATGCGAATCATCTGCGATTTTGTGAAGTATTCTGCCTGCCGTTTCCTCTTCAAACTGCCAACCTTTCCAAAACATTGAGGGATATTTTAATAATATGTTATTCTTCTGAATGTCTTAAATTTTTGATTCATTGAAACCCACCATTTTCTACAAATTAGGTAAGGTGAGTCTAGAGCGTTTTCACGAAAGTGACCTTCTTCAGCACTAGGTTTACAGAGTATAGATTCCAGAAATGGGCGGATTTTTGTGTGAAGGTGTGGAAATTGACCAATCTCCCATAGTTTTTTGATTGCGCTAATAATGATGGCATAACTGTCAATCAAAAGCACATTTTTTACCAAAAAAACACAAACATATAACAACGATGAGGGCGCTTAAATAGATGCGTTAGCTCACGTTCCCGTTAGTGCTGATAACGATGTCAATCCATAGCACATTTTTACTATTAACTTGCTCCACCTCGCTCTTAATGAGTCGTCCCGGAAGTTTTTGCACGATTTTCAAAAATTCATAAGTTCTGATTTTTCCAACCAGTTTGACTGCTTTCATTTTTATGTAAAAGGGTAAGTCACCTCTTTATAATGACATCTCAGTGCTTAGTAATGGTCATCTGTTGCATAGACAGGAGCGATAGAAGAAAAATGGTCAAAATTTGAATTTTCTGTGTAGGGCCACAAAAAATCGGAGACTTGCAACAAAAATCGGAGCAGTCAGTATTGTGGGTTCTTCACCAGCTTTCTCTAACAGTGCAAAGTTCGCGCCGATTGAGCGTTTCTTTGGAAAGTTATGATTTCCCTGAAAAATGCCAAAATAAACCAAATTCGCCCTTTTGTATTGCTTGCTCGAAAATCATAACTTTTCATAGAGACCCTCAATCAGCGCAAACTTTGCACTGTTAGAAAGAGCTGGTGAAGGAACCCACAATACCGACTGCTCTAATTTTTGTTGCAAGTTTCCGATTTTCTATGACCCTACGCGAAAAATTCAAATTTTGACCAATATTCTTCTATCCTTCTTATCTATGCAACAGATGACCATTAGTAAGCACTGAGATGTCATTATAAAGAGCATGACTTACCCTTTCACATAAAAGTGAAAGCAGTCAAATCGGTTAGAAAAAACAAAAGTTATGAATTTTTGAAAATCGTGCGCAAGAGCTTTTGAGACGACCTATACAATATGTTGGCTTTTATGGGTCACCGGAGCAATTGATTTTCAGAGCCGGGAAGCAAAGAAGCCCTAACATGCTGTATACCGTTCGAAAGCTGAGATCATGGAGAATCGACGTAGACCGTCGACTTTTTTCTAGGTCTTTTGTGCCGCGAGATATGAGGGATTTCATGTGCTTCAAAAATTAACTGATTTTGTGTCCTCACTTTCTGCTCTCCAAATGAATGCTACGAGAGAGTCGACGGTCTACGTTTGTTAATGAAGACTTGCTCTTTAACAAAGATAGATAATCAGCAGTGATTGTGTCTTCATTTGGCAGAAATCTGCTGTTGAAAATGACCATGTTTTCAGATAAAATGCGGTGTATCTCTCGGTAGAGGGGGGCTAGAAAGAAGTCGACAGTCTATGTCGAATCACCCCATTCTGAGCTTTCGAATGGTATATAGGTTGCTGGGCGAAAAAACTAACCAGTTTTCAAAAATGGGGTGGAGATATTTACTATTAGCTTGCACTAACTCAGCTCCACCAATGTATTGGCTTTTATCGGTTACCGGAGCAAATGATTTTTAGAGCCGGAAAGCAAAGGAGCCCTAACATGCTGTATACCATTCGAAAGCTGAGATCATGGAGAATCGACGTAGACCGTTGACTTTTTTCTAGGACTTCTGTGCCGCGAGATATGAGGGATTTTATATTCTCCAAAAACCAATTGATTTTTTGTCCTCACTTTCTGCTCTCCAAATGAACCGAGGATAAATAAATAATATAAATAAACATAAATACCGCTTTTTTTGTAAGTTTATAAGTGTACTTGTTGCTTGAGGTACTTAGCCTGCAAAACCTTTTAATGACGATTTTTATCAAATTCTCAGAGTACAATACCAATCTCGGCCCAGGTGAAGGGGGTGATCGGGAGTTTGGCCTCAAAGTGAAGGGGGTAAGATCCATCACTCCCCCTATCACAACTATGGCATAAGCCTGATATAAAACGAGCTGCGCAAAAGTAGAACTTATACGGCACAATTGCACACATGAAAATAAACTCACGCTGTAAGATTGGATGCTGCACAAATATGCTAGAGATGTATTATAAAAACTAGTGTTAGAAGCTTATTTTTTGATTATACTACTATAACAGTGAAAGGCGCATTCATTGCGCTACGATGATTTTATGACCATTAAAAAGAGGATAAAATTCTGCACCAAAAGCCACCAAAATCTCTCAGAAAAAATTTGTTCCGTCAGATGTGGAGCCCCTTTGAAAAAAGCGAAATTACTTTCGGAATGACCCAATAGATTATCTCTGGTAAGCGTTAGCCAGTGTCACTGTTATTGAAGCTGGAATCGAGGAGTCAGGCTATAGGTTTATACATGATAGAAGGCACAGTGGTAGGGTAACGAATGGCGTAGAGAGTTCAGGCGTCGCAACACTAAATAGCGAAATCCTTTGAAACTATTTCTTCTGTTTGACCTGATCGTATCAACGCTGAGAAATCGCAAATCTTACAACATGAACGATCACACGATGACATTCTAATGCAAATAAAAACGGCATACTTTTCCATAAGGGCTGTGAGCTACTTTTGCTGTAATATGCAACAAGAAAAACTAAAATTTACTTTAGATGATGCGTATTGTCCCAATGGTAGTGTATCAGAAACATTTGTCTACCAAACGCTCTCACTCATCAACAATAAACGCTTGATATTGGCCAGTGGATTGCAAATAAACGGATACGTGGATCATGATAACGCCAAAAATCTGTTCACGAAACTGCCTCCAGCTAAATTTTTGCCTGAAATGGTTAGTCTCTTTACCTTTCTACAGTAATCAGGTAATTCTATCAAAGTTTGACTGCATAAGTAGCTATCGTAACGGGACATATTCTCTAAATCATTGCAGCACTATTTAGTATTCTGAATGTCTGTTAGTAGTCTTGAGGAGATCATGTTGAAGCTGGAACTCTGAGGGTGCTGGAACTGTATTTTAAGACGAAGACTAGGTTTTTTACAAGTTTGTAGCATTACAAGAATTATTATCTCTTTGAGAGCTATTGAATTTTCCCTTCATTTCCATGAATGAAAAATGTCGTTTGCATTCTGCACCGATTTTTCGCGCCTGCATTTTCATTTTTGTACGGATTTAAAGTTTTTGCGAACAGATGTGATCGCTTACAGTAAGCTAAACCGACATGGTGACAAGTCGGCACCATGCAGTGTGTCGAAAGAGTCTTGTAACGACGTGAATGATGTGTTTTTTTTGCCATTTGAATCTGCTACTCAATACACAGCAGTGTTTCATTCCTGCTTGTGAAGCTGTTGGCTTAAAGGCAGCGTCCTGGCAAAAAGACGGGTGCCGAGTTTTGGTGGCGGTGCTAAAGTAGACCCCCTACCTAGGCGAAGACTGAAGTTCGGAGTGGGGAATGGGGTCTACCAAGCCTGAGATTTGCTCCGAAAGTGGCCCGGATCTTACGGTAGGCCCGAATCTTGCCCGCACAGCGACTTCGAACTGCAAGGCCAGAGCACGCATAGCGCACACAGTCATAAACGCAGGGTCCCGCAACGACTCTGCTTCTCCACCTTGCATGCATCTCGTACTCGCCTAAGCCTACCGTAAGATCCGGGCCACTTCGAGGGCGATTTGTAGACTTGGACCCTCTTTCGCGCTGCAAACCTTTTGTCGTCGCTAGTTACGTCTAATTTTACATTACTACAAAAGCCAGGTACTCCCCATTCGGGCGGGAAGCTGCCTTTAATACCTTCTCAATAGTGCAACTAGCCATGTAGATTTGTTCCATTGTGTATTATTCTGTGTATTATTCTGAAAACGTAGAAACTTTCTCAATTTTGCTCAGTCATCGCATAGCATGATACGTTTGGTGAAAATGCGCTTTGTGATTGGTTGTGGCGTTTTTTGAATAATATAAGTAGCATACAATACTGCTTATGATCTGCCAAAAAGTCACGAACTCTAACGGAACGCACCGAGATTCCGTTGCATCAACATATCTTGGTTCAGAGTGGAGGAATTCTAAAACTAGAGTCGTTCAACTCGGCTCCGCAAGCGCATCTTCTGATGTAAAAGTGCCGGCTCAATAACGGTAGACGGTCAGACTTCTTGGTTTCGCCGATAATGGGTTACTCAGTGTGCAATATGTACATACATAAATCAGGTTGTCGGATAATTTCTGTTACACTTTTTATTTTAATTCTTAAAAATCTCAGAAGCTTTGGAAACCTCATGTTCACGGCCTATGGGCCGAAAAGGGCCAAGAGTACCGTCGCATCCGCGATCCGTTCGCAAAACACCCACTTTATGGCTGAAAATCCGTTTTCTTCCCATTATTATAAATGGGCTGGCGTTCTCTCAAGTGATGAGCGATAGACGGACAATGTGGTAATGGTAGGGCATAGTCTGTAGCGTTTAGCTAATATGGGGAAATAACGCAGACATGTCTGTACACGTTTTTCTGAGCCGTTCGAATCTGCGCCATCTTTGCAAATATGCGCCATCTTTGCAATCATCGGAGTTTTTACGAAGAAAACACCTTTAAGAAATTTCAAAAAATCGTTTCTATGTTTTCTGTATTCATTTCTATACGATGCACATAAAAAGAAAAATTCAGGAAAGTTTTTGAAGTTTTTTGATATTTTTTCACCCCTAGTTTTTGGAACGCTAGAGGCATTGGCATTGAAAAGCGCAATCGCTACTTGTTTTGAGGGAAACGCGCCCTCTCCAAAGAGGGATGAGGACGGCTGGGGAGCCAGGGCTGAACCACTTCTCTGAGGTTCCCAACCAGAACATCATGTCAATCTTGGCTTAATCTGAACTTGGACAGACTGTGAACGTGTAAGTGGCGCATTTTGATTATAGCGCTTTGAAGCAAATTCGAGCTAGATCTGAAGAGTGTGAGAATGCAAAAAAGATTAGTAGTACAGTCTTATAAAACTGTTGGTGGAGGGGGAGCACTTCTGCTCAAAGACTCAGGAATGACGGCAAAACGCAAGCTTGCAAAACCCAAGAATGTGAGCAAACTGAGGACCCTTAGAGCATAAGAGTGAACAGCGATGAAAGGAGAAGCAGAGAAAACAGTCAAAATTCTGTGGCATTTCTCTTCTGTGAAACAGGAACATTCTGCCTTTGGCAACCCTTGGCGTTCATAGTAAGCCACAAAACTTCGAAAATAACTTTCAGTTAATTCCAAAGCGCCTCAAAGCTGCGCTTTGTACCATTTACAACTGAACAAGAATCTTCCTTATTTGTGATGACGGTAAGGTAAGGTTTCGATGTTAAGCTAAGATTCCAAGGCGAACCGCTTGTAATCGCCCTATTAGAAGCATTATATCCCTTCACTCAAAAAAGTGCAGTTACTTCGTTTGTTTATAAGGTATTTTCTCGCTCATAATCCTACACTTTTTTTTTCACTCGCGGAAAAAAATTCATTTCAAACCCTCTGGTGTGGGCTATAAACGTGTAACTTTCTTGGGATTTGACCCACGAAACTTTGAAAAAAGAACTGAAAATCTGACGGCAAGTTGGCAGAGGTGTGAGCTCAGCAATGAGCCAAACACATCTGCTCAAATTTTGCTAGAATTTCTTCATTTCCTTGATCTATGGAAACTCTATGAGATATGAACCGAACTAATGAACTGGTGTCGTTTTTATGCTTTTGCTATCTAAGAAAAAAATGCTGTTAGAGAACTGTAATTGTACGGTATTTCAGCTACCTATCTTTCAAAGTGCCACCACTTTCACAAAAGAATTATGATCTGACATTAACAAAAGCAGAAGCTAAAATCTTCAGTAATTAATTGCCCCTGTATTTAGACGTACGACTGCGCACTTGAACAGAATGCTACCGAAGCTTTGGCACCGTATAGTGAATCCGACGATCAATTGCAGCTTGTTAACGGACACTTTCTTTATAGGTATGAATACAAAGTTTCATTTTCCGTTGAAAGCCGCAAACCTTTCCATCCTCCATTCTGCCGCGAAGTTAATCTCAAATCTCGTTAATTCAAAATCATTATACAAATGTGCGAAATGTTATATAGCAGTCAAAAAGCACGCAGGCTTCAAACGTTTTCTACTAAAAATAATTTGTTTCAAAAATCCAGATAGTTCAAAGTTATTCAGTTTACACTCTGGTTGCGAGAATTGGACGGATGATTTTATAAGGGACATTTTCGCAGTCGATTCTGATGGATTTTTCTCAGAGATCAAATCTCAATTCGTTATATATATGGATGAGCATGGGAATTCAAGAGTTTATGTCGATGTAGATTTATATAGAGCCTTATTTGTAGTTGCCAACAGTATTGCTTTCAGCTGATGCGTGCTGATGTTTCCAGAATAGGTTGCTCAAGCAAGACGTCAATAAAGAACAAACATGAGTACTGTATATATCTTTGCATCATCAATCAGAAGTTAGTTCTTTGGTAATTGAAAATTTAACTAGAGCTTTTTACTGCCTTTCTTACTCCCTTGCAAATGGGAGCATAAACATAAACAAGGCTACGCTTACCAATAATCTATATACAGGGTGTCCCAAAAAGATGTGCACACTGTTTGATTGTAAATAACTTTTTTGTGGTGAAGTGTTTCGCGAAGCCTTAGGTACCATTTTGTAGAGCGAGGTTCAACTTAGATTTACAGTGTAGAGCGGATCGCCGATCTCTCATTCTTACTGTAGGATTACGGTAGAAACTTTGAAGAGGGTTTTGAGCCATGAAAGGCCATATTTTGTTCCAAAAAGAAACCAAAACAAACTGGAAACTCTCACACTGGGCTAACTAGAGTTGCTGATTCTAAATGTGAAGTTCGCAACTCTTCCTAATGCTTCATTAAAAAATTATGCGCGGTAAGCAGTAGCAGACATTTTTTAAGTGTTTCTAAAAACTGCGGTTACACCGTTTAGAAAGCTTCTCAACCTTGTAAAGAGTTGGGTATTGAACTCAGGGTCCATAAAAACCCTATTACACAAATTTCCACATTTTTTTGAAAATTTTTGAAACGGTCCCTTTTTTCACAGTGACACCATATGTTTGAAGTTTCTACCGTACTCCTACAGTAAGAATGAATGACCGGCGATTCGCTCTACACTGTAAATCTAAGTTGAACCTCGCTCTACAAAACGGTACCTAAAGCTTCTCGAAACGCTTCACTACAAGAGAGTTATTTACAATCAAACAGTGTGCACATCTTTTTGGGACACCCTGTATATATTAGGTTGGCACGAAAGTTTTTGCGTAATTCAAACAAAATTCAATAACTTTTCCAAGACTTAACCTAAATTCGCAATCTTGTATGCTGAAAATATTAGAAGTCTTACGCTTCATGATGAATGTCTAAGCATAAGATTCCGTGAGCTGGACATCAAGAACGAAGCTTTCGAATATGGGGTTTCAAATTTTGCGATTTTGAGTTTGGTGCCAGAGAATCGCAGAGTGCCGCTAGCTAGCCGAAAAAAATCTGTAGAATTTACTTACACAACAAAAGTCCATATGTTACTTTGGAAGGCTTTGACCTTGCACGGTAAAGCAAAAACAAAAAATTCGTGAAATAAGTCATTTTGCGGAAAAAATCCCCTCATGTCCGCAGTTTTCGGCGAAAACACTTTTTTACAATCGAGAAAACGTCGCAAGGCTCTAAATAGGCACTATGTCTAATCTCTGGTCTCAAACTGTGTTTCTGTGAAAAAGTTAGAGCGATAAGGGGATTTGTCCTGTGAAATGAGAATTTTCACAAATTTTTTGTTTTCGCGTTTCCATGCGAGATCAAAGCCTGCTAAAACAACGTATGGACTTTTGCTGTGTAAGTAAATTCTACAGATTTTTTTCGGCTGTCTAGCTGCACTTTGCGATTTTCTGGCACCAAACTCAAAATCGCAAAATTTGAAACGCCATATTTGAGAGCTTCGTTCTTGATGTCCAGCTCACGGAATCTTACGGTTAAACATCTACCATGAAGCGTAAGGCTTCTGATATTTTTAGCATACAAGATTGTGAATTTAGGTTTAGTCTTTGAAAAGTTATTGAATTTTATTTGAATTACGCAAGAACTTTCGTGCCAACCTAATATATATATATATATATATATATATATATATATATATAACTCAATGCCTGTGAGGATGTTCGTTTAGTTGTTCGTTCGTTATAGAAACGCCATTCATTGAACCGATTGAGCTGAAACTTCGCACATATGTTTTCGACCCCGGCGGTGGTTTGCGGCTACTCTTTGAGGCGATTCGCAGGGTCCTTCCATTGATTTATTGATTTGTTTACTTAAATCTGGGAAAACGAATGTTAGACGTGCTCCAACCAGTCATTTTCCAATAAACATGTACTCAGACAATCGCCGGGGGCAGGCGGGCATCGGAAATATAGATTGCTGATCTCTCGCACCCCGCTCGCGGATGTTTTGGGAAGCAATCAGGACTTTCCGGAAGACCGCTTGCTGAGTCAGCGGATTTTTGAGAGACCGCCTGTTGAATTTTTTTTTCGCTCTTATCTTTTGCAGATGTATTGCTGAATCTCTGAGGAATCGAGAACTCAGCAAGCGGTCGTCCGAAAAGTCCTGATTGCTTTCCAAAAAATCCGCGAGCGGGGTGCGAGAGATCAGCAATCTATTTTTCCGGTGCCCGCCTGCCCCCGACGATTGTCTGAGTAAGTAGGGATAGTAAAGTTCATTCTGATCTCGAGGTCGACAGAATGCAGCGAATTCGTCTCAAAGCGTTTTTTGCGCATTGTAGAAGATAGAAAGTGTAGGTATGATCAGCTTCCAGATTGTGGAGGCAGGCTGCGGACTTTACTGGTTTTAAGGAAAGCTCAACGAGAAAGTACGAAATACAGTGCTAAAACGTGGAGGTTTAACAAATTTGTCCTGAAAATCAAGGAAGTGCGCAACCCTCCGCTACACGAATCTGAGAGCCGATGACATTTTGGTGGGTAGGGGAATGAACTCCGCCAGTTTGAGCTCTCCTTTGCTGGCAACTGGTCCTTTTGCAATATTGTTGTTTGTGGTTGCAGGACCAGTAGTCCGCGGAGATGTTTCAAACTGGCGGATTTCGTTCCCCTACCCCATCTTGGTTGAATTAAAAGTCTCGGGCGAGACCGGGTCATCAGCTAGTTTCTTATAAACCCAACGAAGACGTGATGACGGTAAAGAGCACTGGTTTAAAGCACAGCGCTAATGCTGCGCTAACCAAGCCTCTCTTCTCCCAATCCACCTAAGGTAAAACTAGCTCGTTATCAAATCATCAAACATAACTTCATGTCGTAGCATACATATGGCAAAGAATTTCTCCAGCAATTTTTTAGCCGCTTATTTACCTACTATCAAATAATTACCTGCATTCTTCTACAAACTCACCAATGCTTTCAAACAGTTCTGTTGCTGCTTGTTAGGCTCAATTCACCATCAAATCGCTTGCAGTAGAGTACATATGTTAACGACACTTGTGCGTAACGCTCGATTAACGCTCACGCCGTTCATCTAACCATGACCAAGGAAACACTATATAGTACGGAATAACACATATCGCCTTCTCGTAATTCTATACATTAGCTGGTTTACCCGGCTTCCGGCTCTGTCAAAACACTATGACCCTATGCCAACTTCTACATGCTAATTCTCTATTCCTGCTGCGTTAGTAACCAGCATGCTCAATTACTCTTTCCCCTGTGCCAATTCCCAGCACCGTAGCTCGAATATGACAAAAATTTTTTTATAGAATCGTTAAAAGTAATCGATAATTTTGAAATCAATAGAATCGTTAGAAGTATTCGATATTTTAATTATATTGTATTCGTAATCAGCATGCTCGATATTACCCCCACCCATGTGCCAACTCCCAGCGTAGGTCAAACCTCAGGAAAACCAATAAAGATTGATAAAATCAGCATCGATCGATAACGAAAAGTTGTCTACGACACCCGCTCCGCACCGAAGTGTGTGTGTGCAAAGTTTGGTCTGGATCGATTCAATAATGAAAATCTGAATCTACTCCGAACATACACACACAGACATACAGACAAACACACTAGCTTTATACAGGGTGTCCCAAAAAATGTACTCACTGTTTGATTGTAAATAACTCTCTTGTAGTGAAGTGTTTTCGGAAAGCAGTATAGAGCGAATCACCGACTGCTGTTCATTACTATAAATTACGGTAGAAACTTCAAGCATATGGTGTCACGGTGAAAAAAGCTGCGATTTCAAAAATTCTCAAATAAATTTGAAAAATTGTGAATTGGGTTTCCATGGAAACTGAGTTCAATACTCAATCTGTACAAAGTTCCGAAGCTTTCTAAACGGTATAATTGCAGTTTTCGGGAGCATCGGAAAAACGGCCGGGACTGCTTACCTCGCATAACTTTTTATTGAAGCATCATGATAAGCTACAAAATTCACACCGTAATCCCACAGTAATGAAGAGCAGTCGGTGATTCGCTTTATACTACAAATCTAAGTTGAGCTTCGCTTTACAAAATGGTACCTAAAGCTTCCCGAAACACTTCATTACAAGAGAGTTATTTACAATCAAACAGTGAGTACATTTTTTTGGGAGACCTTGTATATAAGATTTTCCTGTCTCAGTTTTCGTCACTTCACCCCTCCCCATCGTGTTTTTTCAATCAACATACACTTACTTCCTGGACCAGCTCCCATTTTCTCATGTCAGGTCTGCGAAAAATCGACAAAATTTATAATGCGTTTGATACTCTAAGACACCTTTAAATCGTGGGGTTCCCACTTTTACAGAAGAGATGAAGTACTTCTCAAGTACCTATGTGAGTCACGAGATATTGAATAGACTGACGTCCCAAAGAATGTTTCAATTCAACTGTTGTTCAACATGTAAAAGCGTCTCTGTTGTGCTGTTTCACAACTGTACGTAAGCTTTGCGCCATTCGATGAACCTCTATTCTCGTGTGGTCCATTGCATTCTCATGACTGCGATACATCAGACGTCCTTATCAGAAACATGCTTAGCACTTTCATTTAAATTATCACATTTGAAATCACATTTGAAATGATTTTGACTTCGAAGGAAGAAAAATGGCTTTGAAGAAAAGAGGGTTAGCAATCGGGGATCATCAGAGGATCACAAAAGCTGGAACATGTGGCATGTACAACTCTCTCTTCTGTTTCAGTATGTTTATAGTAAGGAGTATTAGAAATTCTTGTAAATGAAGAGACAGAGTTTAGTATTAGATATACTTGTAAATCAGTGGCGTACCCAGGATTTCCGCTCGGGGGAGGGGGGACAAAAATTTTTTTCGAATAAAGGTGCGTGGCGTTAGCCACGCACTCCGAAAAATTTTTAGGGGTCCTTCCCAAAATTTTTGCGGGTCCCCAACCCCTAAAATCTGGAAAAAGGGGTCGTGGCGTCAGCCACGCCCCCGAAATGTTTTTTATAAGG